TATAATTTCGAGAAAATCTCTAAATCTTCGCACTCTCAGCAACTTCTTCGCATCGAAAGAAGACACTCTTTTGTTTCCCTTAAATTAAGAAGACTCATTTTTCGACAATCAACTTGAAAATTGAGAAGAAGCGAGAGAGTAAAAGGACAAGGGAAAAGAAAATGACATATCAAATTGAGTCAATTTGGATCTTTTCCTCACACAAAACGAGGCATGGAGACGACACAGTCACAATATTCATGGGTGAGATGTCGACAATTGTGCGTTGAGTGTGAGAGACAAATAGATTTTATTACTGAGGAAAAGAAGAAAATGCTTTGAATCTACCAAGGAATTGGAATATTTATAAAGTTATTTTCGTCCATTTTAAAATTAATGACTTTGAATGCATTCCTTTCAATTTCCAATCATTTTTCAAAAGAGTAATACTATTTAGCCTTATTGGGATTACGATCCCATCGTTAGTGTTGCATTAAATAATATGTAGAGCTAAATAATTCATTTAATTTCATCTTTCATTTAGTTTATCATTTAGCGCTACTTAGACTCAGATTAGAATCCCAGTGAAAATTAGTGAAATTTTTTACTCTGCTTCTAGTCCCTTGTCTCGAGACTGCTAGGCATAGAAAGAGGAGAATACCACCTTATTGGACAACAAAAGTTGCTTTGCTTGTCCAAATCCAGAGGCCAACCGCCAGCCCAACTGTTTTCTCAATCAATTATAGGTGGTGAGCTACCCTAGCTCACAACAATATACGTGCGTGAGGGATACTTAGCCCTTGATTAAGAGCCATTATTTCAAAGAAAGTGCTACAAGTACATTAAGGATGTCATGGACACATGGCACTCCAGCATTAAAGAGTATGTTGGGGGTTGGGGGTGTCCATTATGGCACTCCTAATGTACAAGAAGAATTATCCTTATTTTAAAGGATTAAATTGCTTATACACACAAATTGTACTCCTTGATTGACACTACCTTATGTGCAAAAAAATTGACAATTGATTGAAAAATATATTATCAAGATCAATTTATCAAAATCTGCTAACTCACATGGGTTTAAATTAATTCGTCAACCTTTATATACATGTAGTATGGTCCTATTTCAAAATTCTAGTTGCCGCATGATCATTTTTAACTACATATTTACATGATGAAATATTCTGTACGTAAATTCAAAACTTTTTTCAACTTTTTAACAACCCATTTTCCAGAAATTCATTATTCAAAACTTTATTTTCGCCAAATAATGACCATCAAACATGGACCTCCACCAAGAATGCCAAACTCAAGAAGACTTCCATAGTTAAACATTATTAATTTACAATCAGTGACTCGAAAGGTGGCTACAAAGGAGAATTAGGTTTATATTCTTTTTTCGTTTAATGTGTCTGTGTAGTATGCGTTAAAAAATATTAAGTTGTATTGCATCATAAAATTGGGACCTTTTTGATAATTGATTATGTATACTGATTTCTCGATTTTGTAATTAAAGGTTAGGTAATCTTACTTTAATGCAATTAGATGTTCGATTTTGGATGAGATACATTTATGTCACTTTGGTCATAATTTTCTTTTAATTGTATTTAGTTATATCCATACAGGCTTGTTTGGGCTGGATTAAAATTTGATTTTAATCCAAGTCAAAGTCAAACAATTAATATCAACCACATCTTTTATGGGTCCCACATCTTTTCAATCACACATTTCAAAAACTTCTATCGCAATCCACTAAAAATCTAAGTTTAATTCCCTCCAAATACCCTCATGTGACATACACACGTATTTGAATTTTAAACATATACAATTAGCTTAAAAAATACTATTAACATACGGTCTATTTTTATACTAAGCAACTCTTTTACTTAAAGTAAGAAAAACTAATTCATTCAAACAAGTTTGGAAATCAAAATTTATTTTAAAGTATTTTTTACTTACTATAAAGCTCCGCCAAACATGCTCAAATATCCAAGGTGTTTTTCATGTTACCTAAGTCAAGAAGATGGGAGAATTAAATTGAAGTCAAATGTATGAGTTGAAAGAGGCCTTTTTAATTGTTAAAGTGAAAAAAAAATGGTTGTCTTCAATTATTTATTTATTTTTTGTCAATGAGGAATTCTTAATTTATATGAGCAAAGGATTAGCTTCACCATTTTGAAAATAACCTTCATTTTAGTTTGTTTCATTTCCTGCATCACAAGTTCAAATCGACCATCTTGATGATCGATTGAATTGACCGACCTAACCCTAAGACTTGCAGAAGAAAGCAATGCATATATTTTTCATATCAATGGAAATTTGTTTACTTGAATTAACTTAAAAACATCGCTTCCCATTTAAATCAAATTTCTTGTTATTGTCGAAGGTCGTCACATGTAGAGTATTTAGAGATGGATAGTGGCAAAACTGAATACACCAAATATGTCTAAAGTCTAATATCTTGGTCGTTAGACTAGTAACTAACCTCATATTACCCTCTTAATGTTAAAGATCGAATAGCCTCTTGATATTTTGTGGTGTTTTCAAATACCAAGTAAAGTATATTAACAAGAAATGCACATAGCAGTAAAAGTTATTAGTTACTTAATTAGTCTATATAGGCTAGTTAGTACTTGATTAGTTAATCGTGAGACTTTAATAATGAGGCTATTAGTTACATTCACAAACTAAAAATCCAAAACCTTTGGACATCATATGCCACCAACAAGAATCAAAATGATAATGATCAATCACAAACTTTCAAGAAAATGAAAATAATTGAATCGTTTGGCGATTAGTACTACTTAGTATTCAATTTGTTGGGTTTTTAATTGTAAATGTTGTAAAAAGTCAAATAGTAATGTTCAATTATTTGAAAATAAGTTTTTTAGGTTTAGGGTTCGAGTAAGACAAAAGAATAAAATACGGCACGGATTTTTGCTACACTATCGTCATGGATTGGCTCCAGCGTAAAAAATAGAACCTCCGTTGCTCGATTGTTGCTGCCCTGCCTTAGCTTGAACAACTGTCTGTCGCTCAACTGTCGTTGAGCCATCGCTTGAGCGAGACAGTGTTGTCTGAAATTTTTTTATTTCACAATATAAATGTTTTTTTCCTGACCCATTACTTTTCTGACCTACCTACAAATATCAAAACACATTTGTACGTGAAGTGAGAAGGTTGATCACTGAGAGAGCTTCATCGGAGAGAATTCCTGCATATTCCCTCTTTCAATCTTCGTCCTGTGAGATTGTTTTAGTGAGAAAAACATCACTCTCATAATTCAAATAGTAAACTGTTCTTTCCTTCACATCTGTCAGAGTTGTTGAAAATCGAGGGACGTTGACTGGAGTTCCAGTCGTGGATCCACAGGAGATAAACGATTTCACAAAGTTAGGAGTTGCTGTAGGAAAACACAATCCATGAGAGCTTTAGAAATTGCAACTGAAAGTGGTGCAAGAGCACAGAATCCAGGAGAGTTGTTGGAATTGCAGTCAGGAGATCAGATAGTTCGTGTCGTCGTCTAGTCTGGTAGACTGTAAGTTATAAATTGTTTATAGTGGATTGTTGACTAGCAAAGTGTCTGGAGTTTTTACCCAGTTGGGATTTCTCCATGATCATACCGTGTGTTTTTACTAGTTTCTTTATTAATTATATTAACTGCGGCATTTAAATGTAAGTTAAATTGACTTGCATGCTTAATCATCTAAAGATCATTAATGGTGACATGTTGCTAATTAATTAATAATTTTAATTTCACATAATATACATATTCACTCACCTCTAAGTATTGTTAGGGTTGAACTACGTAAATTTCACAAAGGACATGTTTCGTATAACCATACCAAACAGATTGGACAAAATTTCGGTTTGTCTTTTGAATTAGGACACCATACTAGGGGTGTCCAAAAGTCCCGAACCGAACTTGACTGGACCGAACCGAACCGAACCGGAACCGAACCGAATCGAGCGGTTCTTCATAAATTAAATATTCGAACGGGTACCCGAATCGAGAACCGATGGGTTTGGGTCGGGTCTCGGGTCTAGACCAATAACCGAAGAACCGAATAAGAAACGAAACTAAATAATTTTTTTATTTTTTATATTGAATTAATTAAATTATTTTATTTTTTTTTACAAATTAGCAAATTAATTAAATAAATCAGATTATTTCATAATTTTAATTTTAAAGCCCAAATCATTTTTAAAATCCATTAGCCCATTTTAATTTGAAGCAAATGAATATACTTTATGTAGTGTTGCTGTAATATTAATATCTACTTTTTGGTATTTGTATGCATTGAATTAATCTTATTGGACGGCTAGTTATTTATATGTTTTTGAATTGGGCTACGTTAATTTGTAAAAGTTACGAATGGAATGTCATTAATTGTATTTATGTAGTGTTGCTGTAAAGATTAAAAAATTTAATTATGGTACGGAACCGAACGGAACCAAACCGACCCGAACCAAACCGAACGGAACCGAACCCGAACGGTTCCATAATTATATTTGGACCCGACGGGTCCATTTATTAAATACCCGAAAATTTTGGGTCGGTTCGGGTCTCTTCAGAACTGAACCGAATCGACCCACGGACAATCCTACACCATACGGGATAGGATAAATTCATTAACCCTAATTTTGTCACTTTTTTTTTTTTTTTAAATTCTCATCTAATCATATTCAATTTAGTGTGCCTAATATTTACACGTGTTTCTGCTTCTTTGGATAATCTTGGCAGATATACAAAGAATTTGAATGACACAAGAAGTTGATACACTATACGCCCACCATACATTAACTGAATCTACGTATATTTTCATACTTGAGACAAATGGCATTATTGATAATTCCGAAGAGACCAAGGTTTCTTTCAAATGACAGCTCTATAAATAAAGCCTCCAAGTCCCAAATTCAGTCCGCACTCTCTCTCTCTCTCTCACTCCAGCTTATAAGTAAATGTCCTATGAACTTATAATTGATTCCTAGGAGATTTATCCACTGGCACCCGAGAAAACATGAACGTCAACGATGATCAAATGAGTTTGATTTCTCAGTTCTATCCTGAAATATACAGCCAAATGGTCCAAGAACAAGGTTAGTACTATTTCCACGAAAAGATTATACATGCATGCATTTGATTATGTAGCCTTGTCTTGTTTGTAGTAGGTTCGATTGGACTATATTGCATGCTGTCGACATGATTAAGAAAGAAAGAAGTTGATTATACCCTTTTAGTTTTACCGTACATAGTGTACCTTTGTTCAGTATTTTCGAGTACTCTGTATAATCTAGAAGTTTTTTTGATGATATTTAGGGGTGGAGAAACCTCGGAGGAAGTGTCGACGAAAGAAGAGAAAAGGGGAGGGCGGAACCGGAAGTGAGGCGTCCGGGAAGAGGAAGTTAAGCCAAGAACAAGTGAATATGTTGGAGATGAGTTTTGGAAATGAGCAGAAATTGGAGTCGGAGAGGAAGAAGAAAATTGCATCTGAACTCCAACTCGACCCTCGCCAGGTTGCGGTTTGGTTTCAGAATCGACGGGCTCGGTGGAAGAGCAAGAAATTAGAGGAAGAGTGCTCAAAATTGAAGGCCGAACATGACTTCACCCTGGTAGAGAAACGTAGGCTCGAGAATGAGGTACGTCTCTCACTGTTGTTCTCAATCGTGTCCAGTGCTACGTACTAACAATGATTACTATGTGCAGGTATTAACGCTGAAGGAACGAGTTTGTGAAGCTGAAAAAGAGATACAAAGACTAATATTAGAACGTGGAGATGGATTTTCAAGCATTAACAGTCCAAGTTCTTCGTTTTCTATGGAGCTTTTGGACCCACCTTTTTTGGGAGGATTTGGAATGGAGGGATTAGAAAATGTCCTTAACGTACCACAAAATAATTATATTAATGGTTTGGAATGGGTTAATGTCTATGATATATAATTAAATAATTTATTAGTTAATTAAGGGCATTTTATATGTAGATAATGACAAATGAATGTACATTGTTCAGTATTTGTCTTAACAGGAATAACTTTCAATTTTTTATATAATTCACCTAAAAAACAACAAACAACGACTTAATTATGAAGATTAATGCAAAACACAGTACAAGATTATTGTACTAAATTACTAATGACATACATAATTGAGCGGTGGAAATGTAAACAAAATTATTGTTGCATACAAGATTCTCTGACCCACAAACCTTATGGCTTAGAATTATTTGAAGCATACTGCCCTGTATTATTGGAACCGGTTTGATAACTCTTTATCAGTTCCAAGATATCTCTCAAGCGTTGACGGCAGTCTCTCTCTAATTCACGGGATCCCAACTGGTATATCGATACTGATATTGAGAAATTAAAGGATAGATTCAATATGAAAACATATTAAAAGAACTTGAGAAGAAGAACAATTTATTAATCATCAAACTCAAGTAATAATGTGAATACATTACTCTATTTATAGAGTAAATTTCTAACAAACTAACTACATAAGAAATAAGAGATCGATCAGATATTGGAATATTCTATCACTCCTCTCTCAAGATGGAATATCTTGAATTGTAGAGAGAAGAGCAGATATGCAAGAAAAGTCATGGTCGACAATAACATCCAGCGGAGAAGCAATCCAGAGAAAAACAACAACATAATTCAACCGGAATAAATGAGCATCCATGGCTCGAAAATCGGGCATTTGCTGAAGATAAACATCATCAACATTGATGAGTAAAATGAATACTGAAAATGTTAAACAAACTCGATCGATGGAATGTAGAATAGTGGACCTCAACCTGATATTCAACGGCCAGCATTGAGACCAAGAAGCATGTTGTTTCCATTGGGCAGGTACATCACATTGGGATTATTGGACATGGTGGCTGTGTTCTCCCTTGACGCCTAATTGGGCAGGTACATCACATTGGGACTCTTGGACATGGTGGCTGTGTTCTCCCTTGACGCCTCAATCCTCCTTAGATAGATCAGGCCCATTCCAGCAGCCGTAGTCACATCATCCAACACAATGTTGAAATCCTTTGCCCTGCGAATCAGACTCTCACGAAGGAGTGCGAACACGTGAGGACGCTTTGTGAGCAACTGATCCGCATTAAATTGCGCAACAACAGCTTTATGCACTTCATTTCCGATCGAAGGGAGAACCTTCTCATCATACTCGAGACCTAAGGTTTCGAAAATGTCCAGGAGGCAATTAACCTTAGGCCGAGAGAGGACTCGAAGGGTGAGATTAACATCTGGAGATCCTTAGTGCTGGAAACGAAGGAGAAGGTGTGGGGATGAGTATGAATATCGAAGATATAAAGCTTCTGGAGCCATGGAATAAAGAAATGAGTACCTTCTCCGATAGTTTCATCGATCACACCACGAAATGGATCGAACAGGACGACGCATTGGCCACCGTTTACGGTGTAGAGTGATGAATTCAGGACGGTGGCTCCCACGCTGAGGCTGAAGGCGGCGCGTGCTATGTTGGTAAGGAATGAAACCGCTGCTTGATTGCTGCCCATTATTTGAAGCTGATGGATCGATGATATATGCAGAGAGTGACAGAGTTGCAGACGGAATGAGCATTTTACTCTGATACCATATTGAGAAATTAAACAATATATTCAATATGAAAACATATTAAAGGAACTGGAGAAGAACACTTTATTAATCATCAAGTTTAAGTAATAATGTGAATACATTGTTCTGTTTATAGAGTAAATTTCTAACAAACTAATTACATAACAAATAGGAGAAGGATCTAGAAGAAGGGTATGATATTGGAATATTCCAACAACTGGTGCGTCTGCTTATATGACCGTTGACGCGGGTAGTCTCAAAAGTCTTACTCCTCACTTTGGATTTTAACGCATTCATGATATATTGTCACAAGTTGGACTAAACAATATTGTGTGTTGTTCTTTATAAACACTAATATCATATTCTGTACATTAGTGCAATTTAGTATTGATGGTATTTAACACCCAATGGAAGTAATAGTAGTATTAAAAGACATGTTCAATTAAATGACTTACATAATTTCACGTTCAATTGAACATATCATATAATACCACATAAATTGGTGTTCTAACACTACTGGTATTAGATAACATTATTCTATTCGGTATGCAGTATTGTTGGACAATAGCCTATGTCCCACATCATAATAAATATGATTTGAATTAATTTTTTTCTTGAATCCAATTTAGTAATGTCCCCTACAGCGGACCAAAAAGGCAAGCAGTTTGAAGACGGGAAACAAGCTTGAGGTGTTGGGGATAAACTTCACAACCATTATTATATCTAACCCTATACTAATAAAAAAAAATCTCATTAAAAAGCATACTGGTCAATGAATCCTTCCCATACCATGTGCACATCTTAATCAATCACCCTAAAAAGAAACATCAAAATCAATCAACTAAATATAATTAATTAACGTTCCAGCTCTAGAATAATCTCTCTCACTCAAGAGATGTAATTTCTTGATAAAATTCCATTAAATTTCAAGCGCATAATCAGATAATATTTTTTCAAGAATTGCTATAATAAGACTAAACGAAAAAGGGGGAAAAAGAAAAATGGTAAGGGTGCGTTTGATTACCAATATTTTTCATGAAAAATTTATTTTTTCTTTCTAGTTTCCTACTTTTGTACTGTTTGATTGATAATTTTTTTCGTAGAAAATATTTTTCTACTTTTGATCACATGACCATATTTTGATTGAAAATAAGGAAAATATTTTCTTTAAGTGAAAATTGTTTTTATTTTCCAGATAATTCACTATCTCTTTATCTCTTTCATCTGTCAACCAATAAAAAATGGACAAATACAATATTTTCTTGATTGAAAATTAAATCAATTAAACACATTTAATTAATAATTTTCATACAAATAATTTTTAAGCAATTGAATTGTCTAGAATTTATTTTCTTTCAATACAAATTTCATGTTCACAACCAAACACAACCTAAGTGGAAAACATGTGCAAACAGATAATGGAAATTAACAACAAAAAAGACACAAAATCTAGATGATGATAAAAATTAAAAGATAATTCTAAATGGAAATATAATTAGCAAAATTATCCAGAAAACAATACTCCAAATCAAACTAGACACAAAATTCTCCAAAAACGGATACTTCGAAAAATTACTTCGTTCAACCTTAGTCCCTCTTTTTCATGAAATCTTTTTCTTTATTGTATTGCATCATTATGTCATAAGTTAGACACAGCAAGATTATGATGGTGTTTGGTGGGGATTAAAATTAGATTTTTAGTAGATTGTAATAGAAATTTTTGAAATGTGTAATTTAAAAGCTGTGGGGCCCATGACACATGTTGTTAATATTGGTTGTTTGACTTTGATTTAAATTAAAATCTGATTTTAATCAGAAACAAACATGATGTGTTGTTCTATCTATACACTAATAGAATGTATGATATATGATATTAGACGATAACTCATGCCCAACAACATAATAAATATTATTTGACTGATTTTCTTATTCCACTATAGCTGATAAAAATACTAGTAGTTCGAAGATGGGAAACAAGATCGAGTTGTCGGGATAAACTTGACAACTATTACTTTAATTAAATTTTGATTAAAAGTCTAATTATTCGAACCATATAATTGATAAACAACTCATCAAAAGCATACTGATCAAGGAATCCTTCTCACACCATGTGCATATCTTATCCAATCACCCTAAAAAGAAACAAAAAATAAAAATAAAAATCAACTAATTATAATTAATTAATTAATTACAAAACTAAACAAAATAAAATAGTAAGGCCCTGTATGATTTGCAAAGTTTTCTAGGGAAGTAGGAAAATCTTTTCCCTTTTCCAACTTCATGCCTGTTTGATTTGCAATATTTTCCAGGCAATTTCTTTTCCTACTTCTACCTCACGCGCCACCTTTTCTTACTTTTCAATGATTTTGTTTTCCCAATCGTACTGGTTTTTTGTTTTCCATCTTACTTCCAATTTTTATTTTTTATTTTTTTATTTTTTTGCAATGGAAACAAATTTAATAGACAATTGTAAAAAAGAATTTCATTTTAATGGACAATTTTCATGAAAAATGAAGCCAAACGAATGATCTTCGGTAAGTTAATTTAAATTTTTTTTTTTTTTTTTCAATTGGAACAAATTATAAACTCAATGCTAAAAAAAGTTATCACTTTAATGAACTTTTTTCGTGAAAAACAAAATCAAATGGATACCAAACTTTTAACATTTTTCAGGTGGAAAATTATACAAATCAAACACAATTAATTACAATTCCCAGTAAAACAAATTCTAAGCAATTCATTTTCTAGTAAAACATTTTCTTTCCACCCATTTTCCACCTTCGCAATCAAACGGACCCTAAGTGGTGAACATGTGCAAAAAGAGAAATTTTGCTTAAATGAAAGAGAAATTTCAATTTTAATAATTAATTTACAAAAAACTATGATTAATTAGTTAAATGTTATGGATGGTTCTTTGATTTCTCTTTTCGAATAGTCTTGCTTTTAGACAATTAAATTTGCTTGATGATATGTGTAGGTGTCATTTAGACTTGATTATACCATTAATGAAAGAGACTAACAAGAGCTTGCCTTCAAATAACGAAGATTGAAGCCACATCTCCGTCGATTTGGATTTTTCCGCACCATATTTTATTGAATTATTTTGCGTGTAGTTCCATTCGAAGGAATTTTCCCTTTAAGAATTTGACTATCCTATTTTTTATGACAAGGTTGAATAGCTTAACCATTAACCTCAAAATTTGAGCTTATGACACTTAAAAAAATCATTAGCTCAAATTAAGGCATAAAATAAGGGTCGTTGAATTTAATGATTAAATAACGAAATAAATTTTTATGTACAATGCTTGACTTTGGAATTTGCAAAAATTGTAAGAGAATATAAAATAGACGCAAGGACATATACGAAGAGAAAAGATAGTCAAAAACATATATTTTTGCTTGTTATAACGTAAACATAATTGACTATGTGGTTTAAATTGTTTGATATTTAGCGACATTCACATTTCTGAATGGCTCCGCACCTGCTGTGCGATAAGGCGGCAATTGAAAGAGTTGTTGCTCGAAAGCTTGACGAACAAGCGAAAAAGGTCAAGGGTTTTCATACGATTATGATAATTACACTAAATTAGGTAGATTTTTACTCAATTAGCAATAAATGATCTAATTTACAAGTCAGAATAAGTATGTAAAACACATTTATCAAAAACCTCCAAAGTTAAACTCTTGTTCGCCTGGAACAAAATTATATACTCAACACACAAGCAATCAAAAATAGAAATTAATGCATTAGATAGCTTCTTGTATTCGACTCAGTATGGTAATTCTCCTCACCCTCAATAGTCAATTTTTTTATTTCTCACACATGTGATACATATCTTCTTAAGTTACCGAATGTGATATCTGAATTGAGAACCGACAGGTTTGGTTCAATTCTCGATTCTAAACCAATAACAGAATCTCTTTAATTTTTTTATCGTAAATAAGTCAAATTATTTTATTTTTTAAAAATAAATTCGTTAACTAATTAATTTAGCCCAAATCCATAATATGATTTTACTATTTTTAATTTGCAACCAAGTTCAACTTAGAGTGTGTTTGGAACACATTCTTTTGAAAGAATGTATTATTGAATAGTAGATTGATGGAGAATGTGTGGTTAAAAATGAAGGAAAAGTTATTGATGTGATGAAAAATATTATTTTATTGAAGAATGTGTGGTTGAAAATGAGAATAAAACTATTTTTAATTTGCAACCAAGTTCAACTTAGAGTGTGTTTGGAACACATTCTTTTGAAAGAATGTATTATTGAATAGTAGATTGATAGAGAATGTGTGGTTAAAAATGAAGGAAAAGTTATTGATATGATGAAAAATAATATTTTATTGAAGAATGTGTGGTTGAAAATGAGTAGAAAAATGAGAATAAAAAAAATTATGTGTACCAAACAGGGCCTTAATCAAACTGACATAAGTTTCACCCAAATCTCTTATTCTACTGTAGTATCGTTTTTATCGTTTTATTATTGTGAGTTCACTATCTTTCTTTTCCAGTGATCTTAACAGTCAAATATATAAATTTCGAAAGTAATTTTCACTCAGCGCTATAAGCAGCATTCTTCCCGAGTAATTTGTTGCCTAAACATTGGTGATGAATCTATTTAGTCAAAATTAGATCCACACTACAATGTAGGTATTCTGTATTCATTCCCCAGTAATCTGATTTTCATGCCGACATTAAAAGACAAATTATTTTACATCATGAAACTTATAAGCTTGCTTTTGATGTACAACATAAGCTCGGCTACTTTAACGGTGAATTTTATGCTTTATTACGTATTTCTTTAGCCCAATTCCCTAACTACATTGAGAAAAAGGTTTTTGGATCCCTAACATGAATATAATTTATTGATTGGCTACCAATAAAAGTTATGTTCTCAATATACCAAAATTGTTCCCTTATCGGGACACATTCAAGTCACCG